AAAAATTAAATAAAGCTACCTTGGTTGTATACTTAAATCAGTCATAAGAAGACATATCATATTAGGGATGGGAGAGATAGCTCATTGGTTTAAGAGGACTTATGCTCTTGAAGAGGATCAATGTCCAGGTCCACATGGGGGCTAACTGCCTATAACACTAATTCCAGGATATCTATACTGTAATGGTTGTTCTGTCTCTTTTAAGAGACAAGCCACGCCTACTCCCTCCCCCATCCACTGAGGCAGGCAGGTCTTCCTGCTGGCAGCCTTAGTCTCTCCTTTCTCCCTCTTGGAGAAGCAGCTTCCTTCTCTCTCTCTCTCTCTCTCTCTCTCTCTCTCTCTCTCTCTCTCTCTCTCTCTCTCTCTCCCTCTCTCTCCCTCTCCCTGCTCTCCTTCCTTCTCCCCCTTCCCTTCCATACTTCCATAACCCACTTAATAAATCACCTCACCCTGCATGGCGTGCCTATCCATCTGTCTCTTGCCCACTGCAGCCACATGGCTCGCCACTGGGGACCAGTCACCTTCAGAGACCTGCCACATGCTCTAGTGTCCCAGCCCTGCCCAGGAATGGCTGCTCTCGGGATCCTCTGCCCACTGCCTGTGCTGGGGATCCCATAACAATTTTTAATTTTTCCATTACATATACCCTCTTCTGGTCTCCAAGGGCTCCTGCACATACATGATGCACATAAACTCAAACAGGCGTACACACATATACAAAGAGGATAATAAACTTTTTTTTTTAAAGACTTACAGGACTTAGACCTGGCAGTAGTGTATGCCTTTAATCCCAGCACTCAGGAGGCAGAGGGAAGAGGAACTCTGAGTTTGAGGGCAGCCTGGTCTACAGAGCTAGTTCCAGGCAGCCAGGCCTACACACAGAGAAATCTTGTCTCAAAAAAACAAAAAGAAAAAGAAAAAGACAATTAGATTTATTGCTATTTACTTTCTAAATCTTCTATCCACAACAAACATCTATTCATTTTGTAATAAACTACACATTTAAACCACCCTTTAACTGGGTGGGGATGGAGAGCTCATTGGTTAAGAGTGCTCAGTTCCAGAGGCCCAGGTATCTACAACTCCAGTTCTAGGGAATCTGACACCTTCTTCTGGATTCTGTGGGAACAAGGCAGACGTGGTATTGACATAAATGGAGGTAAAATACTCACACATAAAATAACACATATAAAAAAATTAGATGAATTAGGGTATAGAGTTAAGGAACTTAGTCTGTAGCGTTTGAATTCTGTATCAAATAAATCAACTTCCAAAAATTAATGAGATTTGTAGATAATAGTTAATGATTTCATACATTAAAACTCAATTTAGCTTGGTGGTAGTGCTGCAGACCTTTAATCCCAGCACTCGGGAGGCAGAGGCAGGTGGATCTCTGTGAGTCCAAGGCCAGCCTGATCTACAGAGCAAGTGCTAGGACAGGCTCTAAAGCTACAGAGAAACCATCTTGAAAAAACCAAAAACTAAGACGGCAAGGTACATATTAACCTAGATATATCTCATGGAAACTATCCTGGGCTACATCTACCTGCCCCAATCAAAAAATAACTCTTTAAGATGACTGTGATATCACGTATCTATAGTCCTAGTACTCAAGAAGCAGTGGTAGCAAGAGGACTGGAGGACTGACTGATACAAGTTTGAGGCCAGCCTGGTCTACATAGTGAGTTCCAGGCCACCTGCAAGACCTTGTCTCAAAAAATAAAAAGGGGGGCTAGAGAGATGGCTCAGAGGTTAAGAACACTGGCTGCTCTTCCAGAGATCTTGAGTTCAATTCCCAGCAACCACACGATGGCTCATAACCATCTGTAATGAGATCTGGCGCCCTCTTCTGGCATAGAGGTGTACATACCGGGGGAATATTGTATACATAATAAATACTTTTGCCTGGTAGTGGTGGCGCACACCTTTAATCCCAGCACTCGGGAGGCAGAGGCAGGCGGATCTTTGTGAGTTCGAGACCAGCATGGTCTACAAGAGCTAGTTCCAGGACAGGCTCCAAAGCTACAGAGAAATCCTGTCTCGAAAAACCAAAAAATAAATAAATAAATTTTAAAAAATTAAAGAATGTAAACTTCTGTAGCCATTAGGATTTCCTCAAAAAGCTGAAAGCATTAAGAGTCAGCTAACCCAGTCCTAGGCCAGTATAACCTTAAATTTACATACCAAGGATAACACCCTTTGCTATTTACAATGGCCAGGAAATGGAACCAACCTAGATGCCCATCAACCAAAGAAGGAAGGCAAAGTGATGGAACACATCTGGAATTCCTTCGGTTAGGAGGCAGAGGCAGGGGTTCTCTATAAGGCCAGCCTGATCTATCTGAGCGGTGAGTATATGGAATATACACATTCAATAAATTATATTTCTTACTGGGACCGGAAACAGTGAAATCACTTTTGAGATAGTCTATATTCACTACAGTCTAGCCTGGAACTCACTATGCAGACCAGACTGACCTCAAACTGCCTGCCTCTGCCTCCCAGTGTGCTGGGATTTAAGGCTTGTACTAACCCCACCCATGACAATTATCATTTTTATATATAAGGAAACTGAGACTCAGAGAGTTTAATTAACTGACCCAGTTTAAAAAAAAAACTGCTTTAGAACTGGAGGTATAGTTCAATGATGTAACATGCATTTAAAATAGATAAGCCCCTGAATTCAGTACTCATCACACTCTTCCTCTTGATCTAAAGCTAGCTTAGTGACGGACTCAGCTTGCAAACCTAGGTCACCTGCTACAGAATCCTATGATTTTCTTTTCAATACATCTCCTCAGGTCTGGAATTTATAAACAACTAAATTATGAAAATAAAGCATTACACAAATTTTATGAAGTTGTTACTCTACCTGAAAATTGCTAAAGTGTTTACAGTCCAGAAAGAGGAACAGTAATGTACGTCATACTCTCCAACATGCTGACAAGCTTCAGGGTCTAAGAGAAATGGTTTGCAGTGGGAGAGGTATATCACCAGAGAAAACATGTCCAAGTAGAAATCTTAAACCTAAATCACAGTTAGCAACAAAGATAAGGGCATAACAGGCAATAATCAAATAATATATACCAAAAATAAAACTAAACAACAAAAAAAAACAGACTTTCTGTTACCTAGTGGACTTTTTCTGTTAATAGTCTTTTTGTTAGCAAAGCAAGCTCTGACTGAATATAGGACTTAAGAAGTCAGTAAATGACTTCCTATAGTAAAGAAGCTAAATACAGCACTTCAAGTTTGGCCCCAACCCAAATCCACACAGTATTTTACCTCTACTGGGCAAGGAAATCAATCAAAATGCAAAAGAACCTAATAGCAACGAAAGGTGGGTCTCAAATGCAATTAAGATTAGGAAAAAAAAATGCCACCAGGGAAACAATTAAAGTGTTTTCTTTTAACAGTCACTAAGAGCTTTGTTCTTTGTTTGGGTTAAACATTCACAGGCAAAAGGGTTGCTTGCATTATAATCAGAGTATACAGGAAAGTTTTGCTCCCAAGTGGTTGGTGTATGTCACCACTGTGCCTTGGTTCCTGTCATTCAAAGCTCCCGAATAGCTAATGCCTCCTGTCTAGAAACTACTTTAAAGCATTCCTGACAGTCTTTACATGTGTTAACACATACTTTTCTGCCTTCGATTCCCAATCCAAGGACATAATTCTTACAATTAACCTCTCCCTTACTACAGAAAGGCCACCAACCACAAGAGTTACAACCAAATATTAACACTTTCTTTAAAAAAAAATAAACACAAGATTGTAACCCAATAAATGGCTCAGCGTTAAAGTACCTACTGCAACCTAAGTAGTTCAATCAAGACTCATTCAGTGGAAAAGAGTTCTCCAGCAAACTCAGGAGGTCAGAGATCCTCTGACCTGAGAGAGTGAGAGAGAGAGCGAGAGAGCTAGAGAGCAAGAGAGAGAACGAGAGAGAAAGCGCGCGCGGGCACACACACACTAATATGCAATATTCTTCGATTTAAAAAAGCACAGGAATTCTAGGTCAGGTGTGGCCCACGCCTTTAATCCCACTCAGGAAGTGGAAGCAGGAGGATCAAAGACTAAGGCCAGGTCAGGTATACAGCAAGTTGGTGCCAGTCTGGGTTACAGCCAAGTCTAATGGGGCTCAGGCTATTCATCGCATCGGTTGGGTGAACGAGACAGGATCATTACCTCTGAGTTCGAAACTTAGACTACATACTGAGTTGATTTTCTAGGCCAGCCTGGCTACACAGTGAACCTCTGTACCAAAAAGAAAATAAAATAAAAAATCAAACCAAAACAAAACAATAAAAAAGACCGCTAGCCAAGCCAGGTAGACTGAGCGCTTATAATCTCTCGCTGTCCCCGGCAGGTGGGAGAATGGAAATTCTCGGTGAACCTAGGCAATACCACTAGACCAGTCTCAAAGAAATAGGGAATAGGAGAGAGTAAAACGAGAGACGCTTTCTAAGACCATAAATATCCGGTTGCCAGGAGGCCTTTGTTTCTCTCACATATTGAGGCCAGAATTCAATTTCCAGTAGGGAATGGACTGCTTAGTGGGACATTTGTAACGAGCCACATAGGAATGAAACTCGTGCAAAGCGCCAGGCTCGGCCTTTCTCGGGGCCCCAACACAGATCTCAATTTTAGAAAGTATCCAGGCGGACTCTCCAGCTGTTTCTCCGGATCCCCAGGAACTTCTCCAGCCCCCTTCTGGGCAGCCCTCAAAGCCGCACTCCCATCCCAACGCGCTTCCTTCCTCCGAACTTCGCGTCTCTGCGAGCGGTCTCGCCGTGCCGGCTAGGCCTAGGTTGCCTCACGGCCTCCTCCTCCCCAAAGTCCCTCCGCTGGGAGCCCCGCCGGCCGCGGCCGGCCCCGCAAATGCCCGTCCTACTCTCCCTGGCGACCTGTCCCCTCCGGTGCCCCCAAGCACGCAACGGCCGGGCCCGAAAATGGCGGAGCGCGACCGCCCGCGGCCCTCACAGGCCCCGGCGCGCACTCACCGTGGGGGGCCGGAATGGGCGCCTAACCGCGAGCGCGGTGTCCTTCGGCGCCGCAGGGAATGTCTCTCCCGCCTGGTACTCTTCCCTTCTCCCCACTCTCAATTCCTCTCCTTCAAAGATGCAGCCGCCATCTTCCCCGAGGAGCCACCGAGCGTACGCCTTGCGTCATCACGGCCGCACGGTGCTACGTCACGCGCGCCTGTGCCGCAGGTCTCCCGTAGGGCTCATGGAAGAGCATGCGCGCAGGTGAAGGGTGGAGCCTAAATATCCGGCGCCCAAAGATTTGTGTCGGTTTTGGGACAGAATCCTAAATCCAGGGCCTTTCGCCTTACTGACTTTCTTTACCTTGTGAGCTATCATGGATACTCTCAAAAACTTCCCATTTTACAAAACTAAATAAGACACTTTTTCAAGCCGGGAGTGGTGGCTCATGCTAGTAATCCGAACACTTACTATAGGCTAACACATCCAGGACTGTTACACAGAGCAACCCTGTCTCGAAGGAAAAAAAAAAAAAAGCTGAGACAGGAGGATTACGGTGAATTCAAGGCCTATCTTGCAGCCTAGCCTGATTACCTTAGATTATCTCCCAACAACTGTACTATTCCTTGGTGTGCACACACAAAGAAAGATAATATAATTAAGCCGGGCAGTCAGGGCGCACGCCTTTAATCCCAGCACTTGGGAGGCAGAGGCAGGTGGATCTCTGTGAGTTCGAGGCCAGCCTGGTCTACAAGAGCTAGTTCCAGGACAGACTCCAAAGCTACAGAGAAACCCTGTCTCAAAAAACAAAGCAAAACAAAAAACAAAAAAAGAGATATTATAATTAATAAAAAGGATACGGATTTTGCTCCATTGCACTACATAAACTCAGGGTGATGAACAACTGAAATGGAGGCAGGAAGGTTGGAAGTTCAAAGACATCCTTGAATAAATGAATTCAAGGTGTTAGAAAAGACTATCTTTGTATCCACAGAAAGAAACAGAAACAAAGAGAAAATAACACTACAAAGTAATTTCTTCCTAGCCGGGCGATGGTGGCGCACGCCTTTAATCCCAGCACTCGGGAGGCAGAGGCAGGCGAATCTCTGTGAGTTTGAGGCTAGCCTGGGACACAAGAGCTAGTTCCAGGACATTCTCCAAAAGCTACAGAAGAAACCCTGTCTCGCAAAACAAAAACAACGACAACAACAACAACAACAACAACAAAAAGTAATTTCTTCTTGTAAAACAAAAGTGTACCACACTCCTAACCCTTGCTAGCAGCAATTCACACGGTCTAGATGGCCTGGGTTTATTGTCCCTAAAGCAAGAACCAAACTGTGAACAAAGCACTAAATCTTAAACTATTTTGTAAATTTAGTGAAAGCATGTAAGGGCTGGAGAGATGGCTCAGAGGTTAGAGTGCATAATATTCTTGTAAAGGACTTGAGTCTCCCTTTGGAGCCCTAACTGGCTTGGAACTCAAGATGTAGGCCACGTGGACCTCAAACTCAGAGAGCCACCTGCCTCTGCCTCCCAAGTGTTAGGATCAAAGACACACTCTACCATACCCAGCCACTTTTAGCTTCTATACACACAAGGGCATGCAAGCACACACACACGAACAGGAACACAGAAGACAGGACAGAAAGAGTAAGAACCCCAAAGCCTAACACACTAGCTACAGAAAGCTTGCACTAGTTGAAATAATTTTCACTTAACTGATTGAATTTCTACAACCCCACATGCTCCAAGGTGTGGAAGTTCTTTTTTTTTCTCAGTGAATTCAATACTGTAGTCACCTTCCTGTCCTTATGACAATACACCTAAGAAGTATATTTTTAAATCTTTTTTGTTCTGATTTGGTTTGGTTTTGGATTTTCGAGACAGGGTTTCTAGGTAGCCTTGGCACCTATCCTGAAACTAGCTTTTGTAGACCAGGCTGGCCTCGAACTCACAGAGATCCGCCTGCCTCTGCCTCCCGAGTGTTGGGATTAAAGGCGTGCACCACCACTGCTCGGCTTATTTTTAAATTCTTTTTTTTTTAATATTAGAGTAATCAGGGCCTAGTTAGTAGCAAGAACGGCCTTTCACGTTATTAAAAACACCCCCCTTTCCTTTGTGTGCATTTTAGTTACATTTGAATTATGACCTGAGGAACAGTCAACTGATGGACCCCAAGACTCATCTGTTTTGTTTTGTTTATTTTGAGACAGGGTCTTATTATGTAGCCTTGGCCAACCTGGAAATCACTCTGTAAACCAGGTTGCCCTCAAACTCATGTGATCTTCCTGCCTCTGCCTCCACCCGGCCCTGTGGATCTTTCTTTTTGTTGTTGTTTTGTTTTTTCTTTTTTCTCTAAAGATTTATTTATTGTGTGTACAGTATTCTGCCTGCAAGCATGCCTTCAAACCAGAAGACACCAGATCTCATTACAGATGGTTGTGAGCTACCATATGGCTGCTGGGAATTGAACTCAGGACCTTTAGAAGAGCAGGCAGTGCTCTTAACCTCTGAGCCATCTCTCCAGCCCTATTTTTTTAAGTTCTTAAAGATTGTTTTGAATTAAAAGCATAAGTGTATATACATATATGTGCAGGTGTCCTGAGAAGCCAGAAGTATCAGATCCCCTGAAGCTGGAGTTACTCAAAGTTATAAACCACTCATCATGGGTCCTGGGAACTGAACAGGAGTCCTCCACAAGAGCAGTATGTACTCTTAGCTACTGAGCCATCTCTCCAGCCCTTTATTTTATTTTTTTTAAATATTTATTTATTTACTTATTATATATACAATATTCTGTCTGCAGACCAGAAGAGGGCACCAGACCTCATTACAGATGGTTGTGAGCCACCATGTGGTTGCTGGGAACTGAACTCAGGACCCCTGGAAGAGCAGGCAATGCTCCCAACCACTGTGCCATCTTTTCAACCCCCACTCCCCTCACACACATCCTCTGCAAAAACCGTGCTATTGGCTGAGTCCTCTCTACAGTCCCAAATGAAGGGCTTCATTTGCTTGCTTATTTGTTTTGGTTTCTTTGGGGTTTGGGGGTGGGGGACACGTATTTGAGTCACGGTCAAATTGTAGCCCTAACTGCTCTGGAGTTCCCTTTGTAAATCAGGCTGACCTTGAACTCAGAGATCTGCCGGCCTCTGTCTCCCAAGTGATGGGATTAAAAGCATGTATCACCATGTCCAGTAATGAGCTGTATTTATATTGTGACCTTAATATTAACATGAGAGTTGGGATAAACAAGGAAGGGTTATTCGAGCTTTTGAGTGTTTATTAGTTTTCTTTGTTTTTTTTTTTTTTTTTTTTTGAGACAGAGTCTATGGATTTCTGGCTGTCCTGGGAACTCACTATGTAGAAGACTCTGCCCTTAAACTCACAGAAATCTCCTGTCTCTAGATCTTAAGCTCTGGGATTAAAACTTTAAAGATTTTTGTTTTACGTGTGGGTGTTTTGCCTACATGTCTGTGTGCCAGATGTATGCAGTACCCATAGAGTCAGAAGGGGTGTCTGATCCTTGAAACTGGAGCTGTAAATGGTTGTCACCACCATGTGAGTGTTGGGAACATAAGCATTCACAGATCCCCCGGAAGAAGCAGCTAGTATTGAGCCACCTCTCCAGCTTGGGTCATTAGTTCATGTGTTGAGTTGACAAGGGGTAATTTGTGCTATTTAGTTGTTTTTGTTTTGTTTTTTGTCAACCTTGCAAGTTAGTCATCTAAGAGGGAACCACAGTTGGGAAAAAATGCCTCTATCAGATTGACTGTAGGCAAGTCTGGGGTTACCTTTTCATGACTGATTGATGTGGAAGGGCTCAGTGTACTCTGAGCAGTGCCACTCTTGGACAGGAGTTTATACACACACACACACACACACACACACACACACGTGTGTGTGTAGAGAAAGACTGAGAGAGCGGGCTGAATGAAAAACAAGTAAGCAAGTAAGCAGTATTGTCCCATGGCCTCTGCTCCAGTTCCTGCCTCCTAGTCTCCTAATTCCTGCCCTGACTTCTTTCACTGATACTCTAGGACCTGGGATGTATAAACCAATAAACCCTTTCCTACCACAAGTTATATTGGTTAGAAATATTTCAAAGTCACTGAAAACCAAATTAGGACATCTAGCATACAGGAAATCCTGAACTGGGTTTGAGCCCCAATGTGTGGTGATGGAAGCCTGAAAACCTGGCACTCAGTAAGTGGAGGCTGGGGGATCAGAAGTTCAGTCAACCTTGGCTATGAACATAGCATGTTTGAGGCCAACCTGGGCTACAGGAGAGTAAAAGAAAAATCATTAAATAAATAAGGAAGATTTATTTAACATACTATTCTAAAGGTTACAATCCATGACTGACTGGCTGGCTTGAGGCTTTATGACTGTGGTGGGTCGATCATCATAGTTTCAGAAGCAAGTACAGACAAAGCTGTTCAATTCACGGTGGTCAGGAAGCAAAGAGAAAGAGAAGGAAGGAACCAAGGCTAATGCCCAAGGATATATGTCCAGTGACCAATTCCCTTCACTGTCTTAGGTCCCGGCTCTCCTAAGTGTTCATCACATTTGATAGCATATCAAAGCATCATGATATAGTCACTTTCCTGAAGCCCCAGCATTGAGTGTTGCTATGCTGGCAACCAAGCCTTACATATGATCCTTGCAGGGCTCATATTTCAGATCCAAATCATTAACCTCCCCTTTGTACTATTTTTAGGAGAAGGTACTTTTTAAGACACGGTCTCACTTTGTAGCCCAGGCTCATTTGGACCTCATAGAAATCCATGTCTCTTTGTTTTCCAGGTGCTACCTTTGTACCTTTATTGAACATCTCACACCTACAGGTTCACATAAGGAGCCATACAACTTTCCAGGCTACCTGATCACAATCCCTTTCATTTATCCTCCGTGGGGGAGGGGGGGCAGTTTTTCTTTGACACAGGGTCTCATGTAGTCCAGACTTGCCTTTAATTTGCTATGTAGCCCAGGATGTCGGAGCTCCTGATCCTTTTACACCTACCTCCCAAGTACTAAGATTACAAACATTACAAATGAGTATTTCACAGCTGGGCTGTAGCTCAGTGGGCAGAACATTTAGCTAGCATAAAAGAGACCCTGGGTTTAATCTCTAGTACTACATAAAACCAGGAGCGGTGGCACAAACCTGTAATCTCAGCAGTCTCGAGGTGGAGGAGGAAGGTTTAGAA